AAAGCTTGAGAAATATGCAAATTTGATATCTTATATTTGATCTCGTTTGTTTTTTTTTTTTTTTTTTTTTTTTTTTTTTTTTTTTAAATAACGTTGCGATAATAATCGAGAACGAAGGGATCGTTTTTTTGTTTGTTTCACGTGCGCCGTTGGGGGCGTTTTTTTTCGAATTTTTGCGAAACAGGTGCAAACGGACGGCGAAAAGCCCGGTGGACCGCCCAGGCACGTCTCTGTGGAACCCCTGGGCCCGCAGCAGCTCAAGATCACGTGGCAGCCGCCGGATCGATCCCTGTGGAACGGCGAACTGCTCGGATATACCATCGAATACACCAATCTCGGGTATCGTTATCTGCTTACCGGGGCTCTTGAGCCGCGGCAGTTTGCGGCATTTAGCGTTCATCATCGAGCATCCGAAGTCTCGACCGATGATCGCGATCATCAGTTCGCGAGATATATGCTCGTGTACATACATATTCAGGAGACAGTTTGTACAGATTGAGGCATTTGAGATGCGATCAATTTGCATTTGTTAAAAGAAAGATGAAATTCGTGAGGAAATGTTTTAAACAAATGTTGCATTTGGAAACAATAATGTCCGCGTTACTTTATTATTTGACACAAAGTGACGAGAACTATTGTGTTATGCGAAAAGTTTTACTCAACATAAAAATAACTCTAGTATATTTATTATGTTACTTAACAAATAACAAAAATCGAAATTTAATAAATAAATAATTAATTTTGTATTATTATTTGGTAAATAATTATTTGTGTACGTGTAATCTAATAAAAAAGATATATTTTTATTCGACATGTAAAATGTCTCAGTCTGTATGTATTTTTACATTCGGATCGGTTTCCTTCATAGATAGAAAAAGTTTATTTAATTTTGGCATAGCAAAGAGATTGTTTTCCGTGTGTCAAGTGAGATGATTATTAAAACTCGCAAAATTAAATACAACAAACATAATGTTTGCGCTATTGACGTGTATTTTGGTGTAGTAATAATTCACGCGCTCCCGGTTTTGCAAAGAAGCGAAGAAATGTCTCAGTCTGTATGTATTTTTACATTCGGATCGATTTTTCTCCATAAAAAGAAAAATCAATTTTATTTAATTTTGACGCAGCAAAGAGATTTGTTTTTCTGCGTTTGTTAAGTGACGATTATTAAACCTCAAAATTAGATAAGACAAACATAATGTTTGCGCTATTGACGTGTATTCTGGTGTAGTAATAGTTCATGCACTTTTGGTTTTACAAAGAAGCGCCATGAATTCTTAAAATCCTTTTGTCCCCTTTAGATCCCGTAGTTACATTCCAATGAATTTCACGTTTGTTACTTCCTCCATTATATTCGAATCGGACAGCGGAACGTAATAAACGCGAGCGATAATAAGGTCGATGATTTCCGACAAACTTTTGTGCCAGAAATTTCTCGTTTTTAGACACACACAGCCGTCAACTTTCTGATAATAGGATTTAAAAAAAAAAAAACGTATATTGCATATCGCGTGTGCTATTTACTTACAATTTATTTATTTTACAATCTATTTGCTTACAATCTCACTTCTCAAAATAAATTTGAAATAATAAATATTGCGTTTCGCTGATATTAGAATGTACAGAGTAAAAATTGAAATATATATATATATATAAAGTGTGACGTGTAAAAGAGAGAAAGAGAGAGGAAAAACGATTGAGAAAAAACAACGCGAATCTTTTCACGAGCGATGCAATTTAGCCGTTTTCTTTCGAAATAAAATATTCCTTTTCTCGTTTCCCGTCTTTCGTTTTCGCGCGACGCCGACACGATAGATATTTTAACGACTGTCGAACGCGCGCGCGCGCGCCTTTGGCGCTTCGCGTTATCTTCGCGCTTCGACGAACCGTGATTCGTGCCTTTTCATTTTCAGGGGAGATGATCAATTGACAAACACGACGCGAGTAGGCATCACAGGAAACGGGGACGGTTCGCACGAGTACAGACTGATCGGTCTGCGAAAATACACCCAGTATAACGTGGTAGTGAAGGCGGTCAATAGCAAAGGAGACGGCCCGGGATCCGATCCCGTGATGGCGCAGACGTTGGAGGACGGTGAGTGAAGGCTCGGGAAATTCTCCCCCTTCCCGTTTCGAGAGCGCGATTTTGCGCAGTGTTTTTTTCACGAAACGAAAAATATTATTTGACACGTTAAACAAAAGCAATTACATCGCGTGTCGCTTTGACGGGCAGACCCGTGTCTCTCTTTGCATTTTGATTACCAACTAAATGTAATCGAGAATTGCAAATGATGAGATCAAGTTTCAAATTGCAAATTAATATTATAATTTAAAGTTTGCATCACGTGTGTACATATATGCGCGCACAACACATCGGGCATGTTGTGCAAACATTCTATACCGATCTATAATGCATAACGTCGAACAACAACGACAATTATTTGCGTTACGATATCGAGTTGCGGAATGAGCTTTTACGCGACTCAACACCGCGCACGCGAGTTAAAATATAACCCTCGGATGACAGCAAAGGATATCTCGTTACATTTTTTATCGTAACACTTTCAAAACAGTTATGTAACGTTTTAGCGCAAATTATTCACAGTTTTATGTCGAAACTCTGAATTTTTTGCATCTTTCTCTCTTGATTGGCTTGAATGTGTCATAAAACATCCGAGAGAGTTTATGCATCTCTCACAGTATATACATAAATAAAATTCACGCTCATTCCGACACACGCATACCAACGGGACAGCCGCGTTACAGCGATTTACTATGATTTGACATAGTTCCAAGTGCGCCACCGCAGAATGTAGCCTGCGCCGCACTGAATGGTCAGAACATCCAGGTGACCTGGAAACCGCCGCCTTCCGACAAAGTTCACGGGGTCGTGCAGGGGTACAAGCTGCTGTACGAGGCTGCGAGCGGAGCCGGCACGGACACGCAAACCGGCAGAGAGACGAAAATCAGTCATGCCCTCAGCACGGTACTGCACGCGCTCACCCCGTACACAAACTACACGGTGCAGGTGTTGGCCTACACCCGGGCCGGCGAGGGTGTCACGAGCAGTCCCGTGTCCTGCACCACCGGGGAAACTGGTAAACGACAATCAGATCGCTTCCATGTGTCTCACAGAGAATCCGTTTTTTTTTCTTGCATTTTCAATACATACATGCGCGCGTTTCTATCTACCTCGATAAGAGATTCAGAATGTTCTCTTGACGGAGGGGAAAGATCGTCTTTATTCCCACCGCTGCGGAGAGAGAGAGAGATAGAAGAGAGAGAGAGATCAGCCGTAAAAATTGACAATTTTACGACAGTTTCAGGTGTGTTTTTGTTGTTGGCAGTCGCCCCTCGAGGCGAGTTGTTTACTTTAATTACTTGCTATTTATTTTCGCCTCGTCTCGCTCGCTCTTACTTAATTGTCACCACGCTGAATGAGGAAGATCGCTTTGTCACGCTCCACTTGTAATTGTTTCTTTCTTGTCACTCGTCCAGAAACGTCCGGGAAAATTTATAGTCTATCCCACAAAAGCCAAACTATATATGTATATATATGTGTCTGATATCTCTCTCTAATTAAGACGCTGCAAACTCGAAATTTCTTATTGAGGTAGCAACGTGTTTGGGAAAGGGTTGTCCAACCGAGAAATTGGAGTAACTTTTTTATCACATTTGTTGAAATACTTTGCGCGCTTTTCTTTTCTGGGAAAAAAAAAGTAACAAAAATTAAACAAAGTTACCGCGCGCGCGAAGAATACCAGACGCCGAACACGTTCGGCAAGCTGCGGTGTTTCATAGTTAATTTCGCCGACAGTTCCCGACGCCCCCGAACGAGTGAAGGCGGTAGTCAGCGGGGAGAACGCCGTTACGATCTCTTGGCTGCCGCCGCGACGACCGAACGGCCTGCTCACTCAGTACACCGTCTACATTCGCATCTTGGATCAGGGCCAAGAGATGAAGATCACCAAGAGTACTCTGCCGGCGCAGAATCTTCACCACGAGGTGACAGGGCTGAAGCTACACGAGTCCTACGAGGCGTGGGTCACCGCCTCGACGAAGGTCGGCCAGGGCTCCAGCACGCCGGTTATCAAACTTCAGCCAAGCAGCAAAGGTAAGTCGCTTCTTTCGCGGTGTTGTCTCGGAGTTTTGTTGCAAAATTTTTCTCTCGCGCCGGTGCAAAACTTTATCGCGTCGGTCGGGACGCGTTTCGCAAATGTTTCGATCAAACTTTTCATTTTAGTCAAGTCGCGGCGAAATATCACGCGACTTTGTCGTCGTCGTCGTCGTCGGTTGAAACGCGTATCAGACACACAAGGGAATACAAAATTTTACAGGGCGATAGTTGATTGCCTGAAGGAAAACGTTCTTCGAAGTGGAATATTCTCCCCGATCAATAGCGAGCGCGTGACCTATTACGACTTTTCGATAATAATATATTCACATTTGCGAGAGAGAGAGAGAGAGAGAGAGAGAGAGAGAGAGAGAGAGAGAGAGAGAGAGAGAGAGAGAGAGGGAGAGAGAGAGAGAAAGAGAAATAGATAGATAGATAGATAGAGAGAGAGAGAGAGAGAGATGTTATATACATATATATATATATATATATATATATGTATGTAATAGAGCGCGCAAATGGCGCGAATGGAAACTCCAAGTCCCCTTTAATTAGTTCCAGCTGCCATAATATCGTTCGGTGTGCCCATCGTGGTTCCTTGGCGGGTGGACGTTAATATGCCTTGCCTCGTCGTTGGCGATCCTCGGCCGAGCGTTGAGTGGCGACGTGCCGACATGAAGCTTCAGCAGAAGTAAGTAGTGTACTATTCGGCGATAAATTTCGTCGTAAAAAAAAAAAAAAAAAAAGACAAAGTCGATTAAAAATTTCATGAGTCCGAGATTTGCAGATCCGACGGGGAGCTCGACAACACCTTGACTCTGAGAAACGTGCAGAGAACTCACGAGGACAATTACTCGTGTCACGCGAAGAATTTACTCGGCGAGGACGAAATTACGTACACGCTGCACATACAGGGTAAGGTTACACGTGCAAGAAATCGAGACGCTAATTATGGTTTTCCCTCCCATCCTCCGAAAAGTGAGAAATTATTTCGGTGTAATGCGATTTTCCAGAAAACAAACCAAAAACAGACAATAGTTTCCTCGCGAAAGCGACTTGTGAAGGAAAACAAAGAGAGAGTTTAAAATTTATTTAATTAGAAATTGTAATCGTGTAATTCCTATTGTGTAGATAGAACACGAAGGATATTATAAAGATTCTGTTTAAAGCCCTTTGCTGCTGTTTCCGCGGAAACTCGCGCGCGACTTTATATATAGGATAACTCCCTATGAATTCTTAGCCGGAAGCAAGAGAGACGTATCTCTCAGTAGGTGGATAAAGCAGAGAGAAGAACGCGGTGTGTGTATGTGTCGAGGCGGGTAGATGTTTCGCCGTCTCTCGCGCGGAGCACGAGAGCCAAGTTCTAATTGGTAAACTTTACGCATAGTACCGCCAACGTCGCCGACTTTGCTGGCGACCGGCACGACGACCGACGCTATCCAGTTGCAGTGGAAGCAGGGCGACAACGGTGGCGCGCCTATTAAAGGATTTCTCCTGGCTTATCGTCGCGAGTTCGCCGAGTGGGAGGAGGTGATGTTGGACAGGCGTGCGAGCACGCATCTGCTCGAGGGTTTGAAGTGCGGCACGCGGTACCAGTTTACACTGGCGGCGTTTAATCGGATCGGCAGCGGCAGCGCAAGCGACATACAAACGGCGAAGACCAACGGCTCGAAGCCGATTGCGCCGCCGAAGCATCACTTCGTCAAACCGAATCAAACATTCGTTGTTCTGGAATTGGCGGCCTGGCAAGACGGTGGCTGCCCGTTGACCTACTTCGTCATCGAATATAGAAGGCTGCCCGGGGATTGGCTGCTCGGTAAGAACCTACTAACTTTTCGAGAAGTCGAAGTCACGGAAGAGAGGCAAAGAACGAACGCTCAATGGTACTCGAAAATAAATAAAAAGAACGAGACCATTAATCGATCGGATTAATTTGGAAATGAAGTATATTTGGGGAAGCAGTAGATTTTAATTTTTAACCACCCTTTATACCGGACAAATTTCGCGCGCGCGCGCGTGTATTAAAACGTCAAAGTTTTAATTCCCGATCGTTTATTATTCCATCAAAGTTTGATCTGCGGGATTAAATTCACGCAGATTTGATTAATAACGTGTTGCAGTATCCAATAATGTTGAGCCGCAGTCAAAATATACCATCGTGGATCTCGAAAGCGGCACCAGTTACGAGCTCCGCGTGACGGCTTACAACAACGCCGGTTTCACCCAGGCTGAGTACCTGTTTAGCACGCTGTCGACGAACGGTAACAATCGTTTGCACGAGGATCATCCGCAGGAGAGTGAGAACACGCCGCTCTATCTCGACGCGCACGTTCTCGCGCCAAGCGTCATCTCGGTGCTGGCAGTCGTGCTGGCGATCGCCGGCGTGTGTTTTTGCCTCAAGACACGTGAGTATACACGAGGGATCTGTGTGTACGTGCGAAAAAATCTCGTTTCTGTGTCAAAATCGCGCAAACGCTTTAGGCAAAGGGAAAACACAGGCTCCAGCGATACGAGGAGTATTTGCTTTTCCGCGCGCGTCGAAAAAATCTGTCGAATGCCGTTTATTTTCGCGTATTCCACTTGGTACACATTGTAACGATTCCGCGGTGAATTGAAACAGAGAGCAGGCGAAGAGGGTGGGGACAGTCTCGATGTTTTATTTTTTCGTCAACTATCCTCGATATCAGGTACAATGTCAACAGCAGCGGTCCGCGATATCGGCCGCGAGCGTTTGGTTTAATTAAAAACTTTATAAACGAATCACGTAGTCGACCAATTGTGTTTCAGATATCTGTCGGGATACAAGAGAGCGTCTTGTTTTATGCGTATTTCGTAAGAAATGATGCCAGATAAACGCGATCAAAAGATGTATATACAAGGACAAATCTTCAGAGAACGACTCAATTTTATTTTTTTTTGCAAACGATCGAATAAGCTTTTCCCTTTTTCGTTCATATATCTTGAAAATGAGTATTTCGCATCGATATACATATATATATAAGTTTGCGCAATTTCCGCGAGAGGATTTTACATTTGTAATACACTACAAAACTCTATCGTGTATTTTAAATGCACGCGTTGAAGTTCAACTGCGACGCAGCAATATGTATATTCCGAATGTCATAAAATTTTCACGATATTTCATTTTTTTTTTTTTTTTTTTAAATTATGTATTGTCGATTGATTGCGAACAGCTTAATTTTAGAAATTTACTTAAACAAACAAAAAGAAAACATACATTTGCGATACAAAATAAATTTTCATTTTGTAATATTCATGGCTGACGAATATTACGCACTGACTGTCGATTTTTGCGAAATCGACCATTCGCATTGTATTATAAACTATTTGCATTTAGAATCAAATTTTGTTATTTAAATTCGCGTAATTGAAGTTCTCGAATTAAAACGTCGCGCAACTCACGAAATTCTCACAAAATGCAATTTNNNTNNTTNTTTTTTTTTTTTTTTTTTTTTTAAATTTTAATTTGTGTCATCACTTTTCAACTCCGTTAGCTCTCCTGATGCGTCACATAAAATCGTCTCAAATTGGAGTTCTGTTACATATATATGTATTATATTTTTATCCTATACGTAATAAATATTAAAATATAATGTAAAATTATATTATATATAACATATGTAAATCAACGTAATCAGTCGTTGCGCAATCTGTGATATCGTAAGTGTCCGCCGATGCGAGTGCACGTTCCGTTTTTAGATGCGGAGGAATCCAGAGGTGCGAACGATCCGAGCTCGCAAACGCAGGCGGCTTTAGACAACAAACACAATATGGAACAGAGGGAGCAGTATTACGCCACCGTGAGGAAACCGGGACAGCAGTCGCCTTGCCGCGAGGTGAGCGCCCTGGAACGAATACCCGAGTATTCGGAAGATATTTATCCGTATGCCACCTTCAATCTGCCCGAGCAGGAAAATCTTTCGGCGAACCCCATGAGACAGGCGTTCTTCTATGAACGCAGCGAGACGATGCTGCAAGGTGCTCAAGTACGTTTTATTTCTCACAACGGTTCACGCGGCGGCGCTCACACCGCCGATCCGTCTTGCGATCCTCTTCTTTTGACGGCCCCGCGCTCTCTCGTCGTAAATCGCGCGACGTCCGGACTGATAAAAAAATTTTCGAACTTGCAACGTCCAGATAACTTTCCTGGACAAAGTCACGGCGACTAAGTAATCTAATTAACGTGGTCACGTGACGTAACTAGAGTAATTACTTTCCTCCGTTTGTATTAGTACTTACATGAACGAAGATCATATTGTTTGCGCCCCTTCTCTCTGCGCTGCGGAAAACTTTAAATTGGAAACTCCACCGTAACACGTTGATTATTTAAACATCGTTTGAATTCAAACCAGAAATATAAATATGAAATATACATCAAAGCACGACTCTCTCTTAAACGAGATTGACAAAATTAAAGAAACACACTCCAACATAACGATGTTTCTGAAACATCAAGAAAAGAACTTACGTTCAATTCAAGCAAATATTTGTTTCGTGTCAATTTATCGACGATCTCCACGTTCCGTCTTACTTCAATATTTTACAGTCGACTAAGAATACTCTGCGTTTGATATTCACGGTTTAAATATTTTACACACATGTATATATATATATATATATATTTAGAAGAGTTTATATATTATTTGCCGTACAAGGGCCAAACAGCTCGTCAAGTATTCGATGCGAATCGATTGCAGTGCGACGTGGACCAATACACGAAAGTACGGGGTCGAGCGCGACGCAAATCGAAGTCGTTCAAGTCGGAGTCGGAGGAGTACGACACGTTGGGCTCGGACAGCGACACGGAGGTCGGCACCAGCAGTCGCACCGAGTCGTCGAATCACCTGGACGATTCCGGGCCTACGTCGATAATGGCGCGCTCGCCGGGACCGAACTCCGTGAATCGAGAGCAACGGCTTGCCTTGGTGCAGCGACCGGTTCATCATAGTAAGTTAGTATTCGGTTTTCTGTGTCCGGGAGGCGGCTTCGTGCCAGCCTCGCCCGTAATCAAACGCGCTAATCACTAACTGCTTCCCGCGTCAACGTCCCGTCTTTCCAGATGTGCTGTACCACACGCACGAATCAAGTACATCAACCGAGCCGTCACCAATTTCTGAGAGGAAGACTTTCCCGAGGCTCGAAAAGCAAAGGTAAAAATCACGCTCGCGACTTTCCCATTCCCTCTCTTCTGTATATCTCGGAAAAATAAATATAAAATTACACATATTTTTCGACTTTTTAATAAACATGTTTGTGATATATTTTAATGAAACAACACACACAATCTGCGCTCAGACGTTTGAATAGTTTTATTCGAATAAATCAGAGTTTTTCAGCGCGCGAAGAATTATTCGATCTTCCTCGCAGGAGTCGCAGCGCGACAACAGACGTCGCGATCGACGGTCGCGTTCCCGGTATATTGCGACCGGTGCTGAAGTTGTCGGAGTCCGGAGTGCATTCGTACTCGCGAGGAGCGTCGCCGAGCCACCCGGTGCGTCCTGGTTCCTACGACAGACTGGAGAAGGAGCCGCCGAACACGAGAAAGTCCGTCGAGTCGCTGTGCCTCCTGGAGGAGCCGGCGGGTACGTTCCGAATGATGAGGAGGAACGACGATTGGGGCAGCGAGCTGTCTACGTTGGAATTGAAGCCACCGAGCGGCTTCACGGACGTGCACGAGACGAGTGAGGCCGAGTGCGACATCGACATGAAGCTGAAGCTTCACAGAAAGCGATCGGCCGGTCTCCACTCGAACAACTCACTTTCCAAATCGCCCAAGGATTTCACTATCACTGTCTAAGTGTGTTTTAATCAAATATCGAAACAAAAAAAACAAAAAAAAAAAAACAAAAAAATGTAACGAAAAAGAAACGCCAAAAAACCGAAAGATTTCATCGATAATTGCCAAAGCATGAGTGTTATTAAGTAAGTTACGATTTTTCGCCATTGAAGATTCTTGCGACTGCCGTTCTACGAATCTAAAAATCTCTGAATGTTTGTCTTTTTGGGATGACTACTGTGTCAAAACTCGTTTACAAATAAAGAGTTATTTTTGTAAAAAAAAAAAAGTGAAAACATGCAAATGACCATGTCCGCACTTGTTTTACATAATCCCGCCACCAATTCTATTTTGCTAATTTGAAAATACATTACTTACCCATCTGATGATTCTTTGTCAATAAGGAAATGATCCAATCTCTATATTCCCATCACAAAGTTTTGTCATCATTTTGTTGTCTGTCGGACAGTTAAATCGATTGTTAACAATACTATAAAAAAAAAAAAAAAAAACGAAGCAGTATTTTTCAAGCACGCGATGTAAAACTAACAAAAATTCGTAGAATATGCAAGAAGATCCAAGAGCAAAGGGAGAATAACTCCCCTTTTAGCCATCAGTAGCGCCACCGAGTGTCTTACCGACTAACTAGCTTGTCCAAAACGCTGCGTCGATAATGTCACTGCTCATCCTTTCTACTCCGTTTACAAAACATAAAACTATTTGTCATTTAAGTACGTTACAAATAACATATATATTTATATGTATATATGTGTGTATTTAATTGAATAACTTCAGTATAGAAACATATACTGTATAGTTCCCGTTGAAGAATATTTCTAATTAATATTATGTACAGACTTTGATGCTTTACATGAAATGTGCTGCTCTTTTATATAAAAATATCAAACCAAAGTAAAGCCAATCATAAGTTTAGTGAACTTAGTTCTGATTGATCACACTCCCCGTGAACCAATACCATTCCAACACCAAATCAAACTTCGGTTCACACCACTCTCAATTCTAATCCATATGACACGCGTAACGCTAAACAATCAGAGTTAATTGCATATCTAACGCAGAATGTATGTCTCTTACATAGAACATATATACTGGAAGGGGCATAGCCTATCCTGACATACGTAACATAAGTGTCCGCAACATCTATCTATCCTTTGTCTGCACGAAATCTATCAATGCGCTTGCGTGAGAGGATAACCGACTCTCTTGCACAATGGACGGAATAGCGATAGCGATAGAAATAACAAAAGTTTTAAAGAATTTATATTTAAAAATAAAGGTAGGAACAGCGGAATCTAACATACAAAACTACACATGTATCAATGCAGATCANAAAATCGGAATAAGCAATAGCGATAAAATTTCAGACGAGTTGGAATTCTGTGTTAAAAACTCTGTTATTTCTATCGCTATCGCTATTCCTTCCATTGTGCAAGGGGCTTAAGAAGATATATATGGTATGTGAAGGTATATATATTTTAGCTTGTCATACATACACACATACAACATAATCGACGCATGCGTATTGCGGTATTATGTACAGACAAGGATAGATAGATGTTGGGAACAACGGCAAGTCAGCTATGCCTCTTCCAGTAATATATGTTCTAAGGCCGACACCAATGAGAAACAGGGTTTGTTATTTTTTTCACTACTAAAGCAGTGCTAAAATTGTGATTGACCAGACGAGGCACACGACGTGAGAAATTAGTCAAAGTTACTAGAAGATGAGAAATATAAAGAAGAACTGAAAAAAAACGAAGTGAGACAGATGATCTATCTTGCTATTGGCTTCTATCGCGCATGCGCAGATAGGATAGATGGCGTTGCAGAAATCAAGTTGCACTTTGCCATCGCGCATGTAGTCTATGGCCATTGAAGAGCGAGGTTCAAAAAGCCGAGTGTCAGTTTTATTTTACGGAAGACAAAAGACTGGTATTTGGAACTAACTGGTAAATAAAAAAACACCTCAGATTCTTTTTTCGACCAGTTGCAAATTTCTCGCAAACTATTTATTAGACGTATATGTTCTTAAGCACGGACAATTTTTTTTTTTTTCGAATGAAGCGTACAGTTAAAAAAACGAGTAATACTATCGCACATAATGACTGATGTCGCAATCATTACATCCGTTTAAAACTTCTAAAACTTCTTCGGTGTGTGTGTTTGTGTATTTCCGTTTTTCTTTATTTTTTTTTGTTTTTCGTTGAGACACGTACTGTATAATAATAATGATAATAATAATAATAATAATAATAATAATATGTCGAGTAATTTGATGATGAAAACCGCAAATAGACCGGCGTGCTTTGACGCGACTTGATTGACATGCGTGTCGTCTCTCTCACCGCTTAATTAATAATTACATTACAACGACGAAGTGCGCCGATTTTTCAAAGACAATTTACGCGTGACGTCGTAGAATTAATTAATAATCAGTAGTGACGAATTGCGTCGACAGAGACGACCCACGCGCGCGACGCTGTAGGAACAAAGAGAGATGTGTTGATTTGCGTTGTTTCGTCTTTTTTTTTGTTTGTTTGTTTTCAATGCCTTTCGCTTCGGTAGTCGCCACGCAACGACTGCTCGTCTCTACCGACGCAAATCACTCGCGTGTGTTTTTTATTTGTATTTTATTTTTTTTTTTTCTTATTCTCGATGGTTGATCGATGGTCAGAAAACGACTTGTTAAAAATTCCATCGAGGGCAGTGCGTTTGCTATGCTCGAGGATTAACTCTTTCGCTGATACACACATGATCGTCTTTAATCGAATGTGATGATGTCCCACCGTCTACGCGGCTCATCTAAAAGTGGGGTATCCCTTTGATATTTATTTACAGGGTTTTCTCGCGGTTCGATTAACAGCAGGTATATAATTTTCCTCTCGCGATTGCGCTTAATTAAATCGGTCTTAAATCTACACGAGATTTCGATTCTCCCACTTTCAACGTCTTAGACACGTGTGTTGTGAAAAAGTGTACTAGGAAGAAAATAAAAAAAATAAATAAAAAAAAAAAACAGTCGTACCGAAGTAAAGATGTGCGGGCACACGGTCACACGGTTTTGTTTGTCCCCGTAGCGAAAGAGTTAAGAGGAGAGAGAAAAAAAAATAGATAAGAGAAGGGAAGGAATGTTATGTCGTAGTTAGGTAAGTTTGGCAGTCTCAACTGTCGTGTTTCTTTTCGTGCTTTTTTTTTTTTTTACGTATTGACTTCGCACTTCTTTCGCATCGTCGGGATATTGAATTGGGGCATGGCGCGGATTCGTGATACCCGTTTGTCCCTGTTTTCTTTTTTTTCTAACTTTCTAAACCTTCCAATTTTACACAGCTGAGTGGGAATCCGGCGTGTCGATCGCGAGAATTGTTAAATGTAACGTTTCTTTTTTTTTTTTAGACACCGTGAATACATACATATACATACATATATATATATATAAAACAGCTTCTTTGTGTGTTTTTTTTTTACAGTTACCGTAGGCCGTAGTGCGTACGTTCGAATGAGAATCTCCCCTTAGATGCGTGTGTGCTGCGTGACGATTTGTTACAAATTAAATTTGTAGAGTTGCGAATCACAGCGTCTTGCTTTTACGAAACAAATCGTGCTCTATATATTTGAAGATGATATTCGGTAGGAATTCGACACATTCTCTGTTAACGCGTGTGTCTCAGTGTCTACGCATCATCGTCGTCGGAGTTAATTTGTTTCTTTTTTTTTTTTTACATACAAGCAACGGATTCTCTGAAATGTGCGACCGTGCGCCAAAAACGATCCCCCCTCGATACCGTGCGATTTTGTTTTAATAAAATACACATGTATGCGCACATACGTACGTTATATATATATGTATATATATATCACATTAAACCAATTCGGAACGCAACTCCGTGCTTACTCTATTCTTCCCTCACGTGTGTGGTCCGTAATACAGCGCGAGTGCTACAAGTTGTGATTATTAATCTTCAGTTAAATTACCGAGAGTGCGTTAAAGAGGGTTGAAAGGGGGGTGTAGTTTGCCCGACGGAATTCGCTGATGAAACTCGGCGAACCGTTTCTATTGCAACGAGAACAAAGAAAACTTGTCCATCTTCTTTCGATAAAACCGACTTTGTTTTTTTTCTTACAGCCGTCCGATGTGGACGAACGACGGAAAATGTGGTCACGCGTCGGACATCGTCGGAAGTTTCGCAGCGCGTTGATGTGAACGATGATGATGACGATGATGATGACGACAACGACGACGACGACGACGACGAAGAAGAAACGAAGGAAATTTCCAAGTAAGCTAGATGCCAACTAACGAATCGAGAGACTTGTGTATGTGTCTGTGTGTGTGTGTGCGCGTCGTCTTACAAATATTAATATAGTTGACTAGAGTCTACATTTATCTATACACACCACCTAGTGTTTTTTTATCTTTTATCATCGAGTGTGTTAATAATGCAGGCGGCCGCGTTGCCGATCTCGCCTCTTCGCACGGCCATTCATATCTCACATTAGACGCTTATGCATTTATCCATTGTATAGGTACATACATATATATATATATATATATATATGTGTGTGTATATATATATATATATACACACATATATATATAATCGGGTAATATCGTAAAATACAAGTGTATAGATCTGCCGTGTGTGTGCGCGCGCGACGAGATATCGCTCTCTTTCTCTCTGGCTGTTCTGTACAAATCAGCCTGTCTGAGGAATTCGGAGTATTATTTTTCTATGGCAATAGTTCTGTGTGTGTGTGTGTGTTTCGTTGATTCAAAGACAGGAGCGATGCCTCGCGTCCGCCACGCGTTCACAATTTATTACTTTACTCTCTTTCTCTCTCTCGCCATTCATATATCATAAATATTTATATGTATATATATATATATAATATATCTCTTCTCTTTTTTCTCTCAAATATTAGCGCGTATTCGTGTGTTGTGTGTGTCTTTCACTTCGGTGTGTGTTCGTGTGTATACACATGTATATTATATATATATAATATCGCTCTTTTCGTGTATTCTTCTCTCTCTCTCTCAGATGACTTAAAATTACGGCGTTAACTAAACGATACGTTTCTTTACACACACACATACATAGTTAAATTTCTAATTACATTACGATAGAGTGTCGGATAGATGTTTCCGTCCGTGAGGTGGTGGATTAATCGAGACTCCGATCGCGAGCAATTGGGATGCGCGAACATACGTGCGGTATTTGTTATATATGCGGATCTCGTTACCACGTCCTGGAGATCTCTCTTCCGTGTCCTTGAGGATATCGGTTTTCGTTTACGGAAATGCCTGCTTCGTTTTTTTTCTTTTTGTTTCTCTTTCACACACACACACGTTTCTCTCTCGGCGCTACCCAAGGTCCTCGAAAAAGACTCGAATTTCTGTACCAAAGGAACAGCGATGTCCGTTTTTCTTTCCGGAAATCTCTCCGTTTTTCGCGACGAAAACACGACGCGAGCACGGCTTGAAAAATGGATTTCTTATTTTTTGTTTTTTGATTTCCGCGAGATAAAACGATCAGTCTTGTGCCAACCGCGGGGCATTTTTAATCGCACCACACGTGTGTGTATATCGTAATTTATATTAGAAGAACGCGCACCACTTTCGCATAGCTAATCACAGCGAGTTGACCGAGGTGTTTGCCAGTCACTTCTTCTCTTTCTTTTCCTCCGTTTATGTACACATTTCGGCATCGGCACTTCTTCTCTTTCTCTCTCTTTTTTTCTCTGCATTCGTCGCCTCTGCTCTCTCACTTTCGTCCGCTGTAAACTTTTTCTAGAGGATAACGATGATTCAAGGACGATTTCAGTCTTCGCGATGATACAATTAAACTCGTTGGATATCTGCGTCGCGAATCGAGAAGACGCGCGAGAACTATATTAGGTTTTTTTCTTTTATTTCGAGCTGGTTTAACCTTCGCGTAATTGCCTTATTCGTCTATATTTTGATGATGACGTTGCCACTTGTAACGGAAGAACATCATATATACCTAGTAACGTTGGCTACCTGGTTGTAATTATCATTAAAATGGCATGTACAGTCACTTAATTGTAACACAGTTTCGGCAAGTTAAAACGGACCGGGTTGGTTTTTTTTTTTTTTTTTTTTTTGCATTGCTCGTCGTTGAACGTTTACTAAACAAGTATAAGTTTTCTCAAAGTAGAGACTAATTTGTACTATGTTACGAGTATAGGCCAAGCGACGCATCATTTCGCGAGTTGTCTAAACGAGCTGCTTTTAACGTTGCGCCGAAAATAATCAACGCGTTTTTTTCGCAACGAACAAACACGTTCTCGCGACTTCGGTGACTTCATCTTCTTTCGCGTATTTTTGTTTTCAAAAATTTCTACATATTTACTTTATGTATTGTAAACGGTTTCGTGCGTGTGTTTTTTTTTTTCATCATTCGTGCTGCGGATTAACATTTATGCAAAATTGTTATGCAAAATTCATGAGATTGTGCTCTTAATTATTTTTTCAATGCTTACAACGTGTGTGTAAAAAAATACAAAAACGAGAGGAGCGTGAATTTAAAAGTGCCACTTTACTTTGATTTGTTTCACAGAGATTTTCTTTTTTCTTCTTTGGGGAGAATGTATGTACAAATTAAAATGATTGAAAAACGTATTCTCTCTCTCTCCCTCTGCGATTGTCATCACACACAGTTAAATCGGTATATTACTCTATATTTTCAAAAAACTAAAAAGCTTCTACCGTTTTTTGTCAGCGTTTTACAAAGAATTCCGGAGATACGCGTCGGCTCGTGTGCTTCTTTCGCGAACATATTTGCGTAGTTTGCAGTTTTTTTTGTAACATTTTGTTCTCGCTTCTGTTCACGGAGGCCTTTTACAAACATTCATTGCGCGTCAGAGACTCGATCGAGGGCCAACATTAGTCTTCTGTCGAGTTGTGCGTGTGGTACTCGTTTATGCACGGACACCGAACGAATCAAAAAGCGCTATTTTATATTATATCGTATTATATTTTGATTTGACTGGCGTGCGAATCGAGCGGCTCGCGCGAGAAAAATCGCACCTCTCGCACTTGAATTTCTCCTCTTTCAAGAATCTTCCTCTCAAGAACAATATCAACACAGTCGTAACAAACAAACAACGACACGCAATCGCCGACAGAAATTTGTCCTCGCTGAAATGGCAGTATTAGCATAACGAATATAAATGTGCGCGTCGCGCGGATTCGTCGCGAGTGAGNNNNAAAAAAAAAAACGAGAGAGGGCAGACGCGCGCTCGCAGTGAATAGTTTTGTTTTNTTTTTTTTTTTTTTTTTTTTTTTTGCGCAATTGTTGTTGCTGCGCGCGAAGGAGATTTGTTTGATCCGCGTTCTCGCGCGTTTACAAACTATTTAACGCGTACGTAGAATATAATCGTACACGCGCGTACATGTATGTACACACTCACAAAAAAATCCACGCGACAATATATCCAAGTTTTTTTTCCTAACAATTAGAGCGGAGGGGGAGGGGCTACATATATCGATAATGTAATGTAATTCTTTGGCAACTGTCGGAGATGTCGGGATGTCTCTTCGACTTGTACGTACACACACACGGACACACGCAACACTTATACATACATATATATATGTATAATATATATTTGTATTACTTTTACGCGCGATATATGTATTCCAGCTATGTATATATGTACAATATGCAGATGTGTCCCGCGTGCGTGTACATTCTCGTGTCTATACATATACATATATATGTATATATATATATATATATATATGAATACATAATATATACAATAATCTGTAAACGTAAACTTACACGACGGACAAGACAAACGTGTCACCTGCTTCGGCGTGCGATCGGCGGCAATTTTGTCTCTTTTTTGTTTTGGCACTGTCCGCCACTCGCACCGAAACTCTTTTATCTCTCTTTCCTTCGTGTTTAAAATATTCACGTAGCGTCGTATGTACACTAAAGAAATCCGCTTGTGAAGAAGATCCGCTTCGGCTCTCCCGTGGACGACGCGAACTCTTCGTCTCCTTCGCGATGCGAGGATCATCAGTCTGTTCGGGAAAACAGATTTTTCGCTTGCATTATCGCGCGCGCTTGATTTTTTTTTTTTTTTTTTTGATATACCGAAAGAAGAGACTTCATATTTTTGTTTTTTGTTTTTTTTTTCTCGTCGATACTCACCAAGTCCGGATTGAGACTTCTGTTCGAACGGCCGAGAGCTCGATTACAGCGGGGCCGACCTTCGCGAGGGTGCGCTGCAACCGAAGATAGGCCGGCATCATTGCGGCATCATCTTGCAGCTGGGCTCCAGACCGTCGGCGGGTACGCGCATGCTGCCGTTCGTGATATAACCGTTAGCATCGACCATTACGGATACACCGGATGGCGGGTGATTGTGATAGCTAATGTTTCTCTGCGACACCACCATGCCTTTTTCCGGCGGCGGTACAACGTGGTCGTTACTGCCGCCGTGGGAGGAGGCGAGACAGCTCTCGCTCCCACGGCTGCTGGACGACTCAATCGGATGATCGACGCGTATAGGAATTGCGTAGTCGGACAGGTATTCGGAACTGACTTCTACGGTAGCGTATTCGCGAATGACGGATGATTTGGATGGATAATCTATGGGCATGTGTTGAATCGACGAGGCCGACCTGATCTCGTTCGGGTCGTTCATCGCGCCGACGTGTCCGTTCGCCATGGCGTACAGATCGGGTTCCGCGCGGCCCTTCGTAGACAACATGGTCTCCAAACACTGGTACAGCAGAATGTAGTCCTCCTAAAAAAAAAGAGATACATAAAAATTTAGATACAAATTATATTGCGATCAAAGTACAATAATTATTAATTTTATTCACACGCTCGTACCTTCGAGCGGAAAACGCCAGGTCGCTTCATGTAAAGCAGCTTCGCGAACATGTAGATATCGGCACTTTGTTCGAACTCGAGTTGCTTGTTCAAAGTGGTCAGTAGAACAAAGAGTGCGGCTTCCACTCCACCGTACCTAAATTAGAATCAGACACAATATTCGTCAAAATAGTTAAATACTTAAATCGTGGTGTTGTTATCAAAGTTGACAAAAACGAGAGACTGTCAAGTTCACCTGTCGATCACGACGATAGGCCCGTTTTGATAATCCCGATGAAAATCTTGAATGATGTTGACGAAGATCTTCGGATTGTTGTTGTGCGGCCATAAACCGTTCTGATTCGACGGCGCCTGAACGATCCTGGCGCTGAGCTCGTAATCGTCCTGCAACGATCGAACCGCGACCTCGAGCAGAATCGTGCCGTTCACGGTCTCTTTCGTTCCGCAAAGTCGCACTCGGAACGTCTCGGATTCCAGATCCTTTCCTTCAACGGGCCAGAACTCCGGGTATTCCTGAAAATTAAAACAAACAATTTTCGAAGATATAAAAAAAATAACTTTTTTCACTTTTAAACGATCAGATAACATTTTCTTTGAAACGCACTTCATCGCACTGAGTTAGCATGACGATAGTCTGTGTATTGTGGTCCCACATCATTTGCCAGAACTCCATTATAGTGTTCTCCATCGGATGCTGCGTTATAATGAACTCGCGGTTGCGGTGAAAACCTAGAAGCAATTTTAGAATTACCGTTTGTACCTCTCGACAACACGCGATTAATAGCGTAATAATAATTTTTATTATCACTTACGTAACAATTTTATTATCAACTAGCAACAATTTTGATAATTTTATTATCGCTAATAATAAAGTAATGATAATTTAATAACAATTATTAACGCTTACCCGAAACCCAAGTGGCATTGATGTAATCGCTTCCGTCGACGCCGGGTTTCGGTGTTAGATGAACGCGCGCGTTCTCGATGGGAATAATGTCCATATTGCGGTTCTTGATAATATTGCAAGATTTGGTGGCGGACACGAGATTGAAGTCTTTCGGTTTCCACGACGTCACCAACTTGAACAGATTAAATAATTAATTAATTTATGCGAATATTTTATCGATCATCTTGCGCACACAATTCATTCGGTCCGGCGATAAATCATTCACCTTGTATTGAGCTTCGATATTGTTCCACGCATCAGTCTTGTTATTCGATGGGCACAGCATGTCTTGAATGTGCTGCATTAGGTTGTTCGCGTCGATATTGGTCTCGCCGCTCTCGATCGCCTCCTGCAGCGCGTCGTGAATGAAAATGTACTGCTCCTCCGTCTGCACCAGGAAGTTTCTCTGAGTGCGAATGTGCTTGAGGAATCCGTACACGTTGATCTCGCCCTTGGCCTTGGCCTGCTTCAGCATGGCGTCGATCACGATGTACGTTCCGGTACGTCCAACGCCAGCACTGAAAGAGATAGTTTTTTTTGTATAATAAATAAGAAACCCGCTATATTAATCACACGCATTGCCGTGATCGTTGCCACACCTGCAATGGACGACGATGGGACCGGCGTCGGGCGGATTGGCGTTGGACGATTTACGAATAAAACTTAGAACGGGCAACGGATGATCGGGTACGCCGTGATCAGGCCAGCCGGTGTAGTGATACTGCCATATAGTCCGCTCGCCCATATTGGTCCCGTTTTTCTTCTTCTTGATCTGCTTAAAGAACCAGAAGTTTCTCGTTGGAAAAATCGTTCGTCTTGTATTTTATATAGTCGTCTAACAAAAAAAAAAACACTATCCTAAACGCGCAGAGTTTAGTTTTAAATCGATACCTTTAAGTGGCGAATCTGAAGAGTACGAATGGTGTATGTGGACATGACGTCTTCCTTCACCAGGGTTACTTGGATGTAACCGTACGTTTCCGTGCCCTCCTTGGGCCAGTACATATCACATTTTCTCTGCGAATAAAAATACACAACAATGCAAGATAAATAATGAAACACCAATTTGTAGAAACGCGTGTCGGAAGTGAATCGTGATCTGAAATACTTACGCGACCGCGTTCGACTAGATTGGTGATCATCACGACTATGGAAACGCGCTGCTCCCAAACCATGCGCCAGAAACCGTCGAACGTCGGAGGAAGTGGACCCTGGGTACCGATGTAAGCTCGCGCCCGTTGCCACCCGTCGATGTAATTCGCGTTGACGTAATCCTGGCCCTTCTTGGGAGGCCCGCCGCCGCAGGACAGCAATTGCACGCGAGTATGATCGTCTAAACACACGAAAGCGCGGGAAGATTTGAAATAAATTACATCATCATTACGGAGCGTGAACAAGCAAAATTCTCTTGTGTCTTTGTGTTTTATTCGGTTCTGTTCGTAATTACATTCCGTTGTCGCGGTTCAAAGATACGCGCGCGGCTTTAATGCGCGCTACACGATTACCCACTTATCAGTCTAATCAGCGTGAAAAAATCAACGCGCGTGATGATTCAACGAACCAAGAGCTCTATCTCTTCCATCGGTGTGTGCGCGCGCGCGCGCGCGCGTGTGTGTCGTCTCGACCGGACCGGAGGATTACACGTCCCGACAATTACTCTTTTCCGCGCGCGATGTTATTAATGGGAGCAGAGTTATTTTTTTCCGCGACGATCTTTTTTTTCCAAGATTGCGCGTCTATTCTCGGAGAGAGTCTGTCTTTCATCCCACACATTCCGTCGTTATCGACGGGTTATTCGTGCGATAATATAATTACTTGGTTTTTAACTTCGTCGAATATTTTTTTTATCACTGGAGTTGATAAAAACCGACACGTCACGATCTCGGGCTAGATGAGATCAACGAGGGGGTCACAGAGCACGGCAAGGCCGCGCGCGCAGAGCGTGTTTAAAATAAATCAAACGCGCGGTGAATATCGCTCCGGCGATGGGTAAACAGAGGTGTGTAAATCCTACGCGCGAGCGGAACGGGTTCTCTCCTCCCCGTCTGCGGAACGTAGCGCGTTTACCGGTTCTATATTAAGATGTTTCTCCTTTCATTCGTAAATATTACGACAGCGTGCGTGTGTGTGCGCGCGCGCGCGTGTGCACACACACACACGCGCGCGCACGGGACATACGTCAAACGGCTACTCACATGCGAGTATATTCAAATATCTGTTTTTGGCTTTATTCTCGGCGAACTGGGAGTTCTCCACGGTGTAGTCGCCAGTTTCGGCCTGTATGAGCTCGTACTCCTTGCTGAAACCGATGTCTCCGTCGGCGTGGAGACTCGCTACGTGCTGCACAAACTGCTGAACGGCCACGGCGGTTCTCTCGCCGTCCTGCTCGCTGTTCTCCCATTCCTGTAGGGTGGGAACGTTCCTCGGCGGATAATCCAGGTAGTAATAGGCGGTGTGGAAGCATTTCCTGAACAGCGGTCTGTGAGCGAACACAAACGCAAAGCTAGACATTTCCTTTCTCGAGACGTTTCCGCTCGTACGAGAGAAGAAAGTTTGAAGAATTTAGACGTACATAAAGATATTTTAATATAATGTGTATATAATATATATATATATATATATATAATGCTTTTTAAATAATAATAAATGAGCGTTTCACACGCGACATAAAAGTTGTCCGAACGTCCGCGAAGGTAAGAATTAAAAAAAACATATCACGGGAATAGAAACGATCAAATATTGACGCATCGAAATAAATATCGATGCAACATATTTTCTGAAAAAGGCGCGTTTCACGCGTAGTTTTCTTAAAATCTCGAGCGATATCGAACTTACGAGTTGCGGAAAAATTTCTTCATTTCGACGGCATAATCTCGACGACAGTATCCATGACAAACGAGACGACGAATGAATCAAAAGTACACACGCGATACAAGCAGGCGATTAAGGCGGACACCGTGTCGTCCGTGACCCAGAAAACGAAAGCTTGTCATCCACGGCCGATCCTTCGCCGTGCATCGCTCGTGTTGTTTCGCGCCGCTCTTGAACCGTCACTCGAGACGTACTAACGCGCGCGAGGAGCGAGAAACCTTCGCGAATCCGTGATTTGCGTCGCAAGACTCGCACGCTCGCTCGCTCTATCGTTTTCAATGCGCGGTGGCGTCACGTTACCCACACACATAAGTTCCGCTACGCTCCGAACCACGTCGCGCGGGCGGCCGACGAGTTACTCCGGTGACTGAGAGCTCGCTCTTGTCGCTCCGCGCGTTATCTCGCTTGATAACGCAAAACATAAGAGCCGCAAGATTATATTAGTTACGCGCGCGCGCGCACATATCCTCGCGTTTCTCTCACATACCGAGAGCGCAATTCCGTCCGTTAAATCCCGTCTTGATAAATTCGATAATGTCATTGAACGAATTCGCGAGACAATTATCGGATTATATAAAAAAAATAAAAAAATTTTTTAAAACCGATAAATTGTACTGTAAAAGCAACAACACATTCTACGCTACGTGTGTTATCCGCTCGAATAATTTTCCGAAACTTTTGAGTCCAATCTTGATAAAGTTTTTCTGTAATAATTTAAAACACAAACATTTTCGCGATATTAATTTATGTAATATTAATTTATCGACAAAGTAATTAGTTTACTGATCGAAAAACCGCTGTGAGAGAACATACGATATGCATGAAATTGATAAAACAAGTAGTAAACAAATTTAATAAATTAAAAAAAAAAAAAAAAACTACGGAGAAACATTTTTGTTTTCAAAAAGAAATTAAAAAACTTTATATTGAAAGAAGACGAAGAAAAACAAAAAACAAGTCGCGGGAAGAAATCAGAGACGGAGAAGCTTGAATGAGAAAACCAGTATACGAAGCGCGCGTACGAAGGTTCACGTGACTGCACCGTTCGTTGCAAACTTTCTAATTGCTCGCGTCGTGTACTCCAAATGCTATTCGCGATCCGGGCGTGTTCGAACCGATTGTCCGGGCTCTGCTATTTCCAACAAAAAAATGACAGCGCCGGATCGGTGCAGCGGAAGTGAAACGTCGGCGATGCGAAATAATACTTTAAAATTGACTACATCGGTAAAAAAAAAAAAAAAAAGAAAAAAAACGAAGTCGTTGCCGCGAGAGAAAGCAGATTTCTCGTTGTCAGTTTTCAAACTTCAGTTTGCATCTTTATTTCACATCGAACGAAACAATATCGTAATTAATTTATTTAATCGTCGGAAGAGATTGTTTCAATGTTCAAGATTATTATTCCGTATATCAGATTACGTAAGAAAGAGAGGACATTACTCGCAAAGCGTATCTTCGCGAGATCCTGTTGATAAAAGATATCACATCGGAAACTTGCGCGACGAGCGTGATATAATTAAAAAAAAAAAAAACCAAAAAAACCAAAAAAAAAAAGAAAAAAAAACCGAATCAAAGATTTATGAGACGCGAAAAGTCTCCACGTGTCAAGCAGAAATGTCCGCGCATGATAATCGACTCGGTACATACACGTAAAGTCCTTCTCAACCGCGAATCGCGCGCGCGATAACGTGCCGTGCATGAAACCGAGACTTACTTCCATAACACGAAGGTCGTGATCGTCAGCATCACGGCAAAGCAAGCGCAGACCACTCCCGCGATCACGGCGGGACTGAGCTCTTTATTGCTGCGACGCATCAAGGGCGGTATCTTGTCGCAATCGCGGGTGACCAACACGGTCGCCGGCACGGAGTTCTCGCCTTGAATAATCAAGTGGCTGTCTATTCTGCTTCTGGTGGCACCTCGCACCATCACCTCGTACACCGTGTTCATCGTAAGATTGGGTATGATGGTCTGTGAGGAAACACAACAATCCGTCAGAATTTCTTTGTAACTTCAATCGCTGTAAGATTTAATTAATTAATCTAACAAAAATAAAAGCGGAAAAGAAAATGCAATAAAGAATCGAGGAAAAGCGATTCGGTTTTTCTTCATTGATAAATGCACACACATTATTGTTGCTGAAAATTGTCAATTTTTCCGACACGTACCCCGCACTCGAGATGATTTTTCTCGGGAGCGACTTCGATCTCCTCGTGTTTCCCGTTATCTTTGCGGTAATTGATGTAGTAATAATCGATCGAGCCCCAGAAGGTGGCCGGCGCGGCCCAGTGAACGTACACGGACTCGTGCGATTGGCAAGTCAAATTCAAGATCTGAGGTGCGCTCGGTCCTGTTATGTCGGTCCTGCGTATAATCTGATCGGAAGGCTCGCCCTCGTTCTTCCGTGTGTAAGCCTTCACCCAGATCTTGTACTCGGTGTAGGGATCTGCAAAACCAGTGCTTACACATGTGTCGCTACGTTTCCAAAAATAACGTCCCATAATTCTGTATTTTTAACGAAATATATATTTTTCACGAACAAGAAAATATCGCCGAAAAATGTTTCTGAGATCAGTTTATTCTTATTTTATAAAAAAAAAAAAAAAAAAACATCTTGCTTTGTTGAAAAAATCGCGCTGAGATCGAATTTCGATTTTCGCTCGAATTTTGTTTTGTCTCGTTCGCGGGAAAATCTCGTTGGTTGACGTTCCTTTATTCGAACGCGACAAATTTATTTCCGCGCGCACACAAGTGCGCGAGAGGTGCGCGAGTTAACCGAGTTTTGTTTGCTTAAAATGTAAATGAGTGAGAAAAAAGAATTATATACACGCGCGTGTTCAGCGATAAGAGGCCTCTTCGAGGCGTTCCTCTTATCGACGAGTTTAAGTGCGCCGACCTATCTCTCTGACGGAAAGACCGTCTGCTTGGCTAACGCGAAAACCACTCGTCAGACGAAAAACTTATAAATATTAATCTCCCATTATCGTTCAAATTATTTTTTGCTCGCGTATATTTTACGAATCGACAAACAGGAATTTTCACACGATAAGTTCACGGTGCAAATTCGCGGGACAATTTTCATCCGGGAACGACGATCTTGTTCGACGAGGTCTTTGTTATTATGTGAAACGAGATATGGTTCGTGTATACTCACTCAGATCTCGCAGAACGAAGTCGATGGAAGAGTAGTCCGAGTCCGCGGATTTATCGGGTATGTGCATTTTAACGTCCGTGTAGTTGGAATGCATGTAGTAAACGCGATAACCGGCGATGACACCGTTCGCGTTCACCGGTTCCGACCACGAGAGTTCGATGGTTGTGCCTGTGATTTCACGGGAGGTGAGATTCTCCGGTTTCGTCGGGGCTGGAAAGAAAGAAATGCGTATTATTTTTTTTTCTTTTTTTTTTTATCACACGACAGTTCACCTTTCGCGCGCGTATTCTCGCACGCGCAACACAATATGTCGCACCGATCCCCGACGTCTGCTCGACGCAACAAAGTATTTCTTTCTTTTTAACGAGAACGAAACTTTTCCGTTCTCGAAATTTTTTGCGTCTCCCGCGTTTTTTCGTTACACAACAATTGATAATACGCGTCAGCAGAGTTGTCACAGATATACGTTAGTTAAATACAAATATGTGGAAAAAAAGTGTGTTTTATTGTCCGACATTTTCAAACAATTCAAAGAAGATCGGGAAGGAAAGTTGATCGATTAACGAAACGTTCGTCGATTAATTTTGTGATTGACGATTTAAAAAGAAATTAAATAAACAAAATTATTAAAAGAGTTTGACGAATGTTTAATTTATCTTCACGATCGATCGGTGGATCTTCTCCCGATCTTTTTGAAATTGTTTTTCGGCGATTGTTTAAAGCGAAGAGAGAAATGTTACTCTTCCGATCGGATACGGGAGATATCGGATTCTCTTCAATCACCACGACGGTGAAGAAGAGAATGCGACTCCGATACTCTCATTCTTTTGAAACGTATGGGAGACACGGCGGTACCTTTTTACCTCACGAGTTTGTGTCCGCGCAACTGTATTCGTTTTCTCTCTCTCTCCGAACACAGCACGCGATGTCGATACATCGCGATCCGCATTTCCATTTGTCTAAAGCACGAACGAGTAAACGATCGTTGTCGTTTCGTCTCGGAAAGATCGAATTTATCGAATATTCATAAACATCTGGCGCGCATAAACATACGCCGCGCGCGTGTGCGCGCCACACGCGCGCAAGTACCACAAAACACCGCAAAATTGATTTGCATTCTCTTTTATTCTCAGCCGCGTGAAATCGTTGACAGTAAACTTGCTTTTTTAAAAACGACCGCGATCGTCGAGCGAAACGACGCAGCAGTAGAGGAAATCCTGTTGAATACACACATCGAACGAAACGCAACAAAAAAACCGCAGTAAAAAAAAAACACCTCCGGAGCAAAAAACCTCCGCAAGCAAAAAACCGCGAAATTACACGCCATTATCGTCGATAAAGAGCTAATGGGGAAATGTCATGAGGGAGAGAGAGAGAGAGAGAGAGAGAGAAAAGCGAGATCGAAGTGACCGTAAACTTATTACATCCCGGCGATTATCGTCGTAACGTAAAACGTAGCGGAAAGATCTCTCCGCGAAAACATTGATCGGTGATTTACGGCTTATTTGGCGAGACCTTTGGAGTTATCGTGACGTACTCCGTCGTCTCGGAGTGTATGCTTATCGAATTCGCGTTAGATTAACGATGTGTAATAAAACGCTTTCGAGGCGTCTCGGGGAAAAAAACAAAGAACAACAAGAAGGAGAAGAATGAGGTTACACCTCGAAGACGAGAGAGCCGCTTCACGGAGAACCGCATACGGCCTCCGGATGATGTCATATCGTCGAGTGTTGTGCGCTCGCGCGCGCACAACAGCGACCGCCGCCGCTCGTATTACTAGCGGGGCGTGAAAAATGAACGCGATTGCGCGCGGGTCCGCGTGTAACGGCGCAAGGTCGCGATCTTGCAGCAATTCCCTCTCCGCAATAATAACAAGCGCTGTCTCGCAAACGCGGCGGCAAGCGCGGAAAGCGGAAAACTGCGCCTTTTAATCGCGCGCTCGTTCCTTCCGAGCGGAAATAAGAGAGAAGCGCCGCGCTTTCGCTTCGGGAGATTTCCACGCGATGAAAAATAAAATTACTTTTCATCTGTCTGCGGATGGGAAACGGGTTTTTCGCGCCCGAAGAACGCCGAGAAGCGAAAGTGCCTTTATTAGGATAGGCTCGCTCGTGAGAGCAACACGCGCCGGTTGCACTCGCGCGGAGTGAAAGGAACAAGTCGATAAGAAGCGAAGTACCTGCTTCGCGAGAGACGAGGATACCGCCGCCGCTCGCATACCGATTACACATCCGAGAACTCGACGCGAGACTTTCCCGACTTCTCTCGGGCCCGCCGCGAGATAGGTCTTCGATTAAATAATCAATAAATCGTGTCGAACGACTTTTGAAATATCATCAGGAAATGCCCCCAAGTGATCTCTCACACGTTTTATTTGCGACTCGCGGGAGAGTCGTTTCAGCGAAAGCGTTTGCGTTTCATTAAATTTCTCTGCACGAATGATTCTAAGAGTTTATGTACGTATAGCTTTTTTTATTTATTCAATCATTTACACGACCAGAATTTTTTTTCGCGACACTCCGATTTCCTCGTCCGAGGATTAGGCCGATCGACCTTGGTCCCGGTGGAATCGCAAAAATAGAATGTCCGCGAGCGCGCGCGCGGATTCCTCGTCAAGATAATACCGGTTTTGTTCTTGGAAACAATTCCGAGGATGGATGTGACGCGGCTCACGAGCGTATTTCCATAATTTTATCCTCGCGACGACACTTAAGGTCAGTAGGTAATCGTTGCCATGACGATATGTTTGTTGCGCGCGGCCGCAAGCGCAACAAAAAAAAAATCCCCTCCTCAGATGCGCTCTTTTGTGAAGAGACCGGGAAATGCGCGTCGATCTCGCAAAAAGAAACACATCGAGTCTCTCTCTCGCGCGCGCGCGCGCGCCAAACAAAATCGTCGCGCTTTTTATCGTCGCAATTGCGGACCGAACAAATTCCGCGTGCAATAAAAAAATATTGCAAAATATCGTGTTTTTCCGCGGGGGCGCTCGCGCTCGCCAACAATATTACAGCAACGGATTGCAAAACAAACGGCAGCAACACAACTATTCGCGTGTCACAATACCACACATGCGCGCGCGCGCACGTCGGTCTGGAAACGTTGCGCAATGCAACGATTGTTAGGTGCGCATTGGTAGGTTGCAAGCGCGCGCAGAATCGAGAAGACAAAACGGACGCGCGCGCGTATCCTTCGAATAATCTCTCGGAATAACGAGACGTTGCGCGAAATCGAGACGGAAATGAGTTAAGATAGAATCGATTACACGAGTGGACAGAGTCTTACGCTCGCGCGCGGGTGATTACGAGAAGCGGTCGTGTCGAGTAACGCAATACTCGAATGAGCGCGTGACATTTCCGCGAGTGAAACTCGCGCGCATGTTTTTTAATTTTTTAATTTGTTTTTTTTTTGTTTTTTTGTTTTTTTTAGTGCCTCGTCGATTAATCGCGCTCAAGCGACGCTAAGTGGCCAACATTTTTCACATCACGGCGCTTTACGTACTTTTCTTACATAACTGGCGTAATTAAGAAATTTATTAATTGGAAGAGATCGCAAACTTTAGCGGTAAAACACCGACGGGACAGGGAAACGCTTAATTAATTAATTAATTAGATCTCTTTACTAAAAAATATTATGTCTCTTAAGTTTTGTTACACTTTTATACACTGATACATTGCTCCTTTATTTTATATTTTCGCTTTTATCATATCATATAATTAATCGCTTTAACAACCGCCTTTCAAAATCGTGTAACAATCTGCGTCTAATCCGGACGCAACATTATTGAACAACGTGCTGACGTTGGCACACGTTGTCTCAATTTGTTTTTGCTTTTATTGGCGTGGCGACAACAAATTGCTTTCCGACGATTATGTCAACGAATTATGTCGCGCCGGTCTAAAAAATCGGGAGACCGCTTCTGCGCAGAAGACGTAGCTCGCACTGCGTGCGTCGGCCCCGTCTCTGTAACGGGGAAGAGAAGAGGAGGTTTGCCTCATCCGCGAATTACCTAGATAAACATCGCTGTCGTTCTCCGTGGAGGACATGATGTAGGTCGTCCGTTCGAAGACCGTCGGCTCGTCGGTCGTCGTTGTTATCGTCGTCGTCGTGATCGGATCCGCGGCGACGAGGACTCTCAAGATCAGCATCAGCGACGCCGCCAGTTGAGCGACACTGGCCGCACTAGACCACGACATCTTTCTTTTCGTTTTGTTTTTTTTTTCTTCTCCTTTCTGCTGCAGCTGCGTAGAACGACCGCGTGCCTGCGTGCGTGCGTGTCTCTCTCTCTCTCTCTCTTCTTCGCTGTCCGCCCGCTATTTCACGAATTCGTCCATTCCGATCGGGAAAGATCTCTCGGACGCGATCTTCTTCCGCCTGCACAATTATCGGCACCACCGTTCTCGTCGTCGTCGTCGCCGTCGTTGTTGTTGTTGCGGTAACCCGAGCGAAGCGCGTAACGATGCATTATTCACCAGTCGGGTCCATTGTCATGACATTATGCGCGCGAAAGTTCCTCGGTGAGGAGGTTATCGGCGCGAACGAATCGACCTTTTTTCTTTTTTTTTTTGTTTCGACGAGATATTATCGCACGTGTCGCGACGAATGTCGATTATGGCACTGTGTTTGTAAACGGCTACTCTCTCGCCTCCTGTCGGGAAACAAACCGGAAGTAAGGCTCCGTCGCGCGAACTCGCGAAGGAAATTTGAGAGAACGAAGTCTCGCGAACGAAGAAGCGAGCCCTCTTTCTCGACACTTTTCTCTAACGAATAATTGTTTGAAATAAAAAAAAAAAATATATTTGTTTCGATGTTGTCGTCGCACATCCGCAGACGCCACGTCCTCGAATATTCGTCCATCGATCGAGCGATCGTGCGAGGGAAGAACGGCTGATTATATTCGATCCCCTTGAAACATTAGCGGTTGTGAAGCGACTTCCCCCCACTTCTCCCTGTATTTTTAGTGGGTGGATATTAGGGGAATAACTTCGCGTCGTCGTAAACAACAACGGAGCGCGATGCGCTCAATATATCGGTGTAGTCGCGAGCTTTGTCGTTCGATATATATCTATTGTATTGTCACGAGAGTGTGGCAACGCAAGCGTGCACGTAAAATAAAGTAAAAAGCGCATCTATCATTTCAAATAAAATTAAAACACATACGTAGTTACGTCGCTAAAACGTCGGAATCTTTCACGAAATTGAAGCTTCCGTGTTTCCTCAAAAACTAAATTAAAAAAAAAAAAAAAAAAGCCAAACATGCTGCCAAGTTTTACATTTTAATCAACAGCAGTGAAGAAGTTTTGCCAAATATAAGGTACATTTTTTCCGGAGTACAAAGAGTACGTCTGTAATTAAAATTAAATCGGAAGTTCCGTTCTCGCTCCTATGGAAATTGATTCGCCGTCCCGTTCTCAATCTTCATTCTCTCTCTTTCTCGTAAATGCGGACAGAGAGCTTTCAATCTACAGAGGAGGAAAAAAGAGGAAAACACACACAACCGATCTTTAATTTATAAATTCTCAACGTTTATTCCGAAGTTCGCGCACGTACTTTCTCACGGAGGCTTCCTTTCAATTTCCGATCCGGCGAGAGAAACGAGAGATCGAACTTTCGAGGCGCGAGTGAATTTTCCCCGATGCGCACGGTGCGAACAATTAAACGTCACTCGCAAGAGGGGAGGGGGAGAGAAATCGAGTTAGCTCGAACGTCGGGTTGAACCGGATAAAGAAGCAAATTACAGGACCGATCCAATAACAATGGCGTTTCCTTGACAATAGCGAGAGAGACGCCTCTCTCTTTCCCCGTGACAGAGAAAAGAGATGGAGAGACAGAGACAGAGAGAGAGAGAGAGAGAGAGGATCCAGTTTCATATTCCCCATTTATCGTCTAATTGGCATCGCGGAATAGATAAATAAACTTCGAGGAGCGTCGATGCGCGTATAATGCGAACGCGACGCGCGCGTTATTTCGCGCTAATATAAACCTTTTTTTCTATTCAACGCGAGCGAATCCGCCACACGTGCGCGCGCGCGCGCACGCGGTTTAACGTCAATCCGTAATTGGTTCATAAAGGAATAAATGACGTTTCGTTTGAGATTCGTTTTGCGCGTTTATGAATCACAAAGAGCGGCGCGATTTGTACATTCAACATTGCGCGCGTGCCGCGCGCACACAAAAGATAATTAAAAACACATTTTGTCTCGTTTGCGTTCGAAATTATCGGGAAATTGAAATTATTTCGCGAAATGATTTAAAACCGGCGTTTCGTCGAGAGTCTATGTATACGCAATATGTATATATATATATATACATATATATATATATATGTATGTTACAGATCGGTATATTTAAATAACTGAAAATTTTGCTCTTTTTCTCTCACTTTTGTACGCGAGAACGAGCGCGATGCGCAAACCGGACGAGGCTAATCCGCGATTTCCCACGTCAATCTCGCGCGTTCTCGCTCTCCGAGTTTTTATTTCCCCGCGCGCGGAATCCCGCGCGTATATAATAAATGATCCGAACACACAGAGAAAGAGAGAGAGAGAGAGAGAGAGAGAGAGAGAGCAGCGCGCGGGACCGCGCCCTATTTTACGATCTCTCATTTCGTCCGGATGAAACTAACGGATGTCTCGCGACGTACGTACGTGCGTGCGTGCATATTATTGTCGAGAATGAAAATTACTCTCGCTCGAAAAGCTCACGTGCGTGTAACGAGAAACAAAAAAAAAAAAAAAAAAAAAAAAAAAAAAAAAAAAAACAAAAAC